TGTTGGTTAGCTCGTAATTGGCTAATTTATAAGATCTACCTATTATCTAATACATTTAAGAACTTTGTATACATAAGCTGTGAGCCCACCTTTTTTTAATAAATAAATAAATAGTATAAAACAAAGTCGGTTTCTCTGTCCCTATATCCCTATATAAGCTTACATCTTTAAAACTACGCAACTGATTTTGATACAGTTTTGTATAGATATAGTGATTACAGAAGAAGGTTTATATGTATGTATAGCAGGTATCAGCATTGTGTCGTGCGAAGCCGGGGTAGGTCGCTAGTTTATAATTTTTATTTATTATTAAACTTGTGGGAGAGCCAAGTTTTGGCACGAATGGGTCGGCTCGATCAGAGTGATACCACAGCCTCACAGGAAACTGGCGTGAAACAATCACAGCGTTGTGTTTCGCCGTGTGAGTGAGGTTACTGGAGGCCCAATTCTTCCTACTCCCTGCCACCCGTTCCAATCATTAAATAAACGAAACACTTCACCCTAAAACGCCGGCAACGCACTCATGACTCCTTTGGTGCGGCGGGTGGCGCCGATTGCTTACCATCATGTAATCAGTCTATCTCTTTAAAAAAAGGACTTGCATGTTTAATAATTTAGAGTATAATAATTTGACCTTCTCATTCCAAAAATAAAAAGGTTTTATGAAGTGCAGGTAATCATTAGGTACTTGCAGTATAACTAAAGGTATGTTTACCTTAACCAGTTTTTACTCAAAACTTAACAAGCTGTAATTATTATGTGATAACACCAAAAATAATAAGGAACCTGTTTTTAATAACCTACTTCGTGTGTAGGTATTGTTTGATAAACCTTTACATAAGTACTTTACAATATTATAAGTCCTGAATAACCTCAAATTTATGAGGTTATATGACTAACTCTCGGTGAATCGATCTCTCGGATTGTCGATCGTGTCGCTTGGAAAATACCGCTGCCAAATACGTGAAAACGAATACGGGGTTGAGGATCAAAAGTAATAGGTAATGTAACAGCGACCTCAGCATGGAGTAGGAGAAGGTTTTTAGTCTGTAAAAGACTGACACTCCTTTTCGCCCTACTCAGAAAGAGAAGTCATTTGATGATACCCTCTCCAAAAAAAGAAAATCAAATGGCCTTGATCACTAGAGAAAAAAGAAACAAAAATTTGTGAATCTTTAAAAAAATATATGAAAAATCACAAATAATATACTTTTTTACAATTTAAATACATAAGGACAATAATGTTAACTTATAAGTAAAATGGTATAGATAGGTTACATAGACAGCACTCGATTTTCAAAGACGGCACACTTATGCACATATGAATAAATCGTATAATACACGTTAAAGTGGGATGGCATGATTCAATAATCGAGTGAAAAAGAGACAAATTAATATGAAAAAGTGTGGCTAGTTAGCCACATTTTAAGTATTACTTGCCTACGGAAACAAAGGTTATCTAAACAACGCAGCTGTTAATCCATTTGACGAATAAGTACTAAATACTACCTATCTCTTTTTTCTTAATAAATTTACAACAAGCAAGATTTAGTTCGCATACATGACTATTATTACTTGAACTTTAAGAAACCTACCTACTTACCTTAACTTCTGAAACGGAATTCGCGATCTCCTTTGTTTCTCAGAAGACATCCGCAGTCATGATCAAGTGACCAAAATTTCACTTTCTGACCACAAATACCGGATCAGAGAGCAATGTACTTATATAAAATTTCGTTCATGTATGTAGCATGGTGTGTGTTCTCAGAAATTGTGAACAAATGGAGCGAGAGAAGGAATAATAAAAAAAATTTGCAAATCCGTCCATAAACAACGGAGTTCTGAGGTAACAAACATAAAAATAAAAAATAAAAAGAAAAAAAAACGTACAATCGAATTGAGAACCTCCTCCTTTTTTTGAAGTCGGTTAAAAATTATACTCAACTGAGATATGAACGAAGACACCATGTTAAATTCTATGTTTTTTTGAAAAGAAAGAAAACTATCGTAGTAAATTCTAGTACATTATTAAGATTATGAAGACCAGTATAAAGATTTGGCTAAATCAAATCTCAAAAAAATATTCTCGCACAAATCGTAAAACTGATCTTACACTCAAAGTAATGTAATTAAAGACGGACTTATGTTTACTTGATCAGCCTTGATATATTTCGACACATACAAAAATAATTCTATGCTGCAAACAAAAATACATTTTTTTTGTAACATTACTATACTTTGATTCTTCAAACTCCAGGCGAACGCCGGCGTTGGCGCACCAGTTAGGTCTCGAATAACTAAGATTGAAAGGTTAATATATTTATTTCGACCAAAGTTCCGTAGTTATACGAGTATAAGAAATTCAATAAGTATATTTTAATGAGCATTATTATTATAATATTATGCGTACTACTTCATGTTCTTCGACCGTGACGTAAATATAAAATTGCTTCAAGTTAATATAATAACTAGGCTAGAAAATTACCATTATTGAATATAATGATTAGAGAAATTATGTATTACTAGCTTCCTGCCTGCGAATATAAATAATCCACCGAAATCGGCTTCTTGAATCATTCTATCTTTAAATGAAACCCATCAAAATCTGTCAAGTAGTTTTAAAGATTAAAACATACATAGGAACAGACACTTGTTATATACTGTTTAGAGAATCGGCATACGTAATCAGAAGCGAGCCTTCTGCTGAATATAAGCCTCCCTGAATTTTAATCATCATCATCATCATCATCATTATCATCGGCTTATAAATAGTGATCGATACTACAAATGCTCTTACTCACAGTCTCCCACAAGAACATTACTTGCTCTAAGTGGATTGGCGATTTTAAACTTATAATCAGAAATTACCTGTGTGCCATGGCTTTTGCGCGTTATAAGTACTTTGAGTTTTATTTGAGACATCGCTGACACGAATGAAAATAATGAGCAAACCAGGACTTATTATTACTAATTATAAAATTGGAATATAACATTCGTCATGTTTATGATTGATTGATTTTGACTGCCCAGTTGACACGGTGGCTGGGCAACCGGCTGTCGTGCAACCTGTCACGTGTTGGATTTCCGCACGGAACTACTGTTTGTGTGATCTACAAGTTTCCGGGTGAAGTTGTGATTTGTGTCTGAAATTGTATGTTTTTAGAAGCACGCACCGCACACTAAAAAAGTAGACAAGTTTATAAAAACAATAAAAAGGAAAAATTTTATATTAGAACAAGACGTTGGGCAAACCTCAATAATTAAAAATACAAATAGGTGTGGGATCAAAATAGAAAATATTAAAGATCATACAAATAAGTACCTATCTAGTAATGTAAGGAGATTATAGTTTAATGAGTTGTTTAAAAAATTTAAAAGTAATAAAATGCTGACCTCAAGCTTCATTTAAAAAAAAAAGATTAAATATTCAATGGCCTCTGCTTTCATGTACAAAACGTTTCTATACATAAAATCAGTATTTTGTGCATTGATTATAATTAAAATTTAGGTAAGCAGGCTGCATAGATTTGTATACATAAACGGTACCTGATTATTTCGGTCACAACTTTCGTTTGGCTATGAATTTTTTTGCAAAAGTTTTATTATAATATTCTTTTTGTATCATTTTAAGATTCCGAAAATGTGACGTAGGTAAATTTAATAAAATCTTATTAAAAAGTTTATCCGTATGTATCAATATTGGTCAGGGGCAGGGGTCATAGTATTTCCATAGATAACATAGCAACCCATACCTAATAACCCTATAAATTTTTACCATATTTCACAATAGTCCTGCATCAACCAGGTATTGTCCTAAGATACACTTTCAAAGGCCTTTGCGAGTTGGCTTCGGCCCCTCGTAGGTACGCCTTCCCAAAGTCCAGGTTCCTAATAATTAATTTCCCGCTTTTTAAACTAATTTATCTTATAAAAACAAAATTACTAAATTCATATTTTTATTTATTTCTTTATCATATATATTTTTGTAAGAAGTTAGAATACACAATTCGTTTCGTTTAGCAATACTTTCCTTTGTATATTGCTATGAAACTACCAAAAGGCGCTTTTCGTCAACTTGCTTACCATCGACGCATAACATATATAGTACTTCAACGTATATCTCTTTAATTTTTAAAAGCAGGATAACATTTATTAAATTCGTATACCTAATACATATATACTTAACCTTGTACCTCTAATAATGGGCGAGCCTATTGCGTAAATCATAATTAGTTGTAAAATTAGGTGAAATCGCAAAGTAAGTTATCCTTCACTAGGTTTTTAATTAAGGAGTCGATTCATTGGCAATTATAATTTCATTGAACATTACGCACTAAACAATGAATGATTGATAACTGTGTCAGTAGTTTAATATGAAAAGGAAAACGGTCTTAGTGTGAACATTTGATTTCTATTTTAGTCTAGGAGTGGGGTTACCGGAGGACAAAGCATCCTCTTATCCCTCTATTATTATCTCCAATAAAATATTACCTGGATGACCAAGCAAACAAACATACCTAGCTAATAGAACAGATAATAGATTTCGGCCCCGGGAATCCTTACATGCTCAAAATAGCATCGAAATCGTTGAAGCCGTTTCCGAGGCCCTGTGAATTATATAAAAAATGATGATATGTTTAATTTACACACTTTAAAGTATTTTCTAATAAAAAAGACCAAAACTTCGAAAACATTATAAAGCAGAATAATACCATTAAAGGGAGAAAGCCAAGCTAGCAAATAATAATAAAATAATAATAAAAAAAAAGGCCAGGGCTAAGAGAGGAATTTCCACTCGCCATGTTCAGAATTTCTGCATCAGGCTCGTGATCCCACCATCTAACGTTAGCCTGCTCAGGTGTTGGTCAAGGCTTTTAATCATCAGGCCATTGGCATATACAACTTTATTGTTTCCAAGTACAGGGATTGCGGAATCTACAGACCACAAAGTCAAAAACCTCATGGTTGCCGGTTTCTCACATCCATACTTTCTCTTCCAGTCGGATGTGAGATCAGTTCTGATGTGACGCTACTGGACTTCCTCCGCAACTACCTCCAGCTGCGTGGCACCAAGTACATGTGTCGTGAGGGTGGCTGCGGCGCCTGTATGGTCACCGCAGCTAAATCACCAGGAACTCCTCATGTTGCTGTTAATGCTGTACGTATGTTCAAAGTATTTTATGTAACTGTTTCTGAGACACACGCTATCTATAATAGTTTGCATATGTGTAAGCAATGCACAAGCCCGCTTAATGTTAATCCCATCTTAACACCTGGGCGGGCACATTCAACGTACAAACAGATCGAACAGAACTGTCACTTTTGTCGGTTCCAGACGTTGCCCCACACTAGGATTTTCTCCTGAGTCGTGGGCGCGCTTACAAACATACAATTTACCACCCCCACGTACGGAACAAAAATGTGTGGAGCACAGAAAGAGTTGTTCCGTGCGAGAATCGAAACCGCGACACTTTGCGCGGCAACCAATGGTTCAGCCACCGCGCAAACCGTACAGTCGAGTCAATTCGATGGTGTATTAGTTGCTTTGTCACACAATAATTCAATAGAAACCAGACCACTGAACCTAAGCGACTGTGACTATGTCGGCCTCTTTTGATCGTCTATTTGTTGCTTAATATTATAAAATTACGTCCATGGAGGAACTACTACTCACCTCTATTAAATATGTTGGAGCCTATTACATCTTGTTATATTTTATTAAAATTACTATTTTTCTCAAAAAAAAAATATACATCGTAAAAAATACCAACATAAAAGAGATTTACTCATAAAATATGGCTGTAATGATACATCAAAATATAAATTAACTTGAAACAATGATGTTATACAAACAAAGTACTTATAACACACTTGTATCAACTAATCATCATGTGTTTGCTTCTTTGTAAACTTATTATACATAAAATTTTTAAAAACAAAAACCTAAGTGAAGTATAAATAATAATACCACAAAGTTGCAAGCTGAGTTGCACAACTTGATTGCTTGTATTTCTTTCCACCATAATACCACCAAAAGCGTGGTCACTTGACAATGGATATCCCACCCACACTTAGGAAGCAATTCGCATATTATAGCTTTTTCGTCCAATCCGCTGAGTAAATTCCTTTGTCGGAGTGTTTTCTAAAACATAATTACGTCCTGGATGTCTTAAAAGTTGCTTATGGGTAGGCGTACTCTAGCGTAGGTGCTCCATTTTAGCTTACCACCAGGTATAAATAGTAGCCAAGCAGAAAACAAAAATACCTTATCAAGAAACTGGCAAATAGTTTCAATAGCTCACAAAACATTTACATGATATTCAGTACTTAATATACCTATAAGAATAAGATCAATGGGCCTAAAGTGGGTCTTTCTTCTTATTTCTTTTTGAACCTGTAAAACCAATAATATCCACAATTGTTGGGACTACTTACGTGTCCATTTTTGGGCTAAAATACCACTTTTAAAGTAACTACTAAAGTAAATGACCATGTATTCACATCGACCATAATATACCTTTTTTACAGTGCTTAGCATCCGTCACCTCCTGTGAAGGCTGGGACATCAAGACCATAGAAGGTCTAGGGAACAGGAAGATAGGCTACCATCCCATCCAGAGAACCCTCGCAGAACACCATGGGTCACAGTGCGGGTACTGCACAACTGGATGGGTCATGGCTATGCATGGGTTTGTATGATACTAATTAATTTAGGCCCTATTAGCAGAAGGCTATGTATAATCTTCATAAACAAGCAATTATGGTTTAGGCACAAAAATACTTTATTTGCTGAGTAGATTCCATATAAAAAAGTGGCCCACACTAGGATTTTATCCTGTGTCGTGGGTGCGTCTACAAACTTACAATTTTCCATAGTCATACCCTTTGTAACACGCAAGTGACGCCTTGTTTACTTTGATATACCTAAAAAACAATAGATTTCGTGTGTTTACATTACTTTTATAAATAATCTATAGGTATATTCTACAATTCCAGTTTCTTGGAATCAAATAAAGATGCCACCATGCTGGACGTAGAAAAAGCATTTGGCAGCAATGTCTGCCGCTGTACAGGCTACAGACCTATCCTGGAAGCCTTTAAAAGATTCGCCAAAGACGCTCCAAAAGAACAGAGGATCCTGGACATTGAGGACTTGCAGATATGTAAAAAGTCAGGAAAAGCTTGCAATAAGTCTTGTGATGAGGATGAGTGGTGTCTGGTTCATGAGGATGAGGTTAAGGATGGAGTAAAGAGGATATTGTTAGCTGATCACAGGGTTTGGTACAAACCCAGATGGGTTCGTGAAGTTCTCGATATACTTGTGCATGAAGGATTGCAGTCTTATATGTTAGTTGGTGGTAATACTGCTAAAGGTAAAATGTTGATTAAACCTTAATATACACTTTTTATAAGTAAAACTTTGATTCAGTCGGATAAACTTTTTGCTATTTTTGGGATAGCCAACATATACATCCAATAAATTTTCAGCAGTTATTTTTGACAAAAAAATGTAAGATAGGTATTATGTATTTAATATTTTTCTGCTCTTGCAGGAGTCATACCTATAGATGAGTATCCCCGTGTCTTAATAGACGTCAGCGGCCTACAAGAGCTTAAAGTTGTTACTTACGACCAAAACCTTATCGTGGGAGCTGGTAATACTCTCACAGATTTCCTTGGCATTTTGAAGACGGCATCTACCCACGAATACTTTGGATATTTGCAGCATCTCTATAACCATATTGATTTGGTCGCACATATCCCTGTTAGAAACGTAAGTGGATTAAACAATGTTATTATTTCAAACACGTTGTGAACACTAATACAAGCTTTCTATCCCAAGAAGAAGAGAAGGCAAAGGCGCTCACACAAAATGTGAATCACACCTTTTTACCAATGACAATAAGTACCTTATACTATTGCATGGATGAATTGTAAGGGCCCACGTCACTGGACTGGTGGTCCTATAAGACAAATTTAACTCTTGATCATGTGCCGAATGTTCGAGAGAAACTGATTGCAGTATCAAAAATAAAAATAAATAAATGCTTTTGCACATCACATGCAATCCAGGCCATTAGATATGAATGTCACTTTGCCAAGAGATAATGACAAGAGTCCAAAGATTCAATGAGATTCAAAAGATTAATTTTATTATGGTCAAGTCAAGCATACACACTACTCCTAACAATATCATAATAGCAATATGCTACAAAGTTACTGCAAGTGTTTGCTCTCCAATTTCAGTTGGGTACAATCGCAGGCAACCTGATGATCAAACACAGGGACAACTCGTTCCCGTCTGATATTTTCTTGGTATTGTATACCGTCGGAGCCCAGCTAACTATTAGTGAGTAAAAAAATCATATTCAGTAATTATGAACTAAACTATTTACTACCTGAAATTAATTCTTAAGTGTAAAGACATACACTATCAGATTTTGTAATCAACCAAATATGATATTTACTCCATTCTCATAAAGAAGACTTCTGAATTTTTTATCATTATAGTAACATCTAATCATAATACTTTTTTTACCTGATAATTATTCTGAACGCTAGATTCTGGATCTGACCATCACGCTTGTGCATGTTATTCTAAGTTGGCAGCCAACATTATTTTTAGCTCTGCATAATTTTCTCTATTGACCTACCTCAATAAATTTTTATTACAGCTGACATAACGAGGGCTACAATTACAGTCCCGATGGATACCTTCCTAAAGATAAATATGACAGGAAAGATAATCCTGAATGTGATGCTTCCACCGCTAAGCAATGAATACAAATACTTCTCGTACAAGGTAGGGAATGTCTATTTCAATTAAACAATTAAATATAAGAAAAAGTATTGTTAATGATAATCAAAGTTAAAGTAAGAATCGGTTAGAAGATACAGTTAATAAAAATTGTTGTAGATAGGCTGCTGCAAAAGTGAATTAGATTCACACTCCGTATACAATATAATTTTCAAATTGTGATATTGCGTCTAAGTGACAATAAGAAAATGGATGTCATTAATAACAATAACTTAACGTGTTTTCAGCTAATGCCAAGAGCGCAAAGTGCACACGCCATCGTCAACATAGGCTGTCTTTACAAACTCACTGCAAATAATATCGTTGATAGAGCCAGAATTGTATATGGAGGTCTTTCTCCCAAATTCATAAGGGCAGTAGCTACTGAAAGCTTCCTGTTGAGAAAGCCACTATTTAACAATACTACGTTACAAGCAGCCTTAGCTGTGTTAGAGGGAGAGATGATTGTGGAGCCGAAACCTCCAGAACCTTCCGTGGAGTACAGGAGATTTTTGGCTAAGTCTTTGTTCTTTAAGGTAAGATTTTTCATTCATTGGATACAGCTATTCACCAATTGATCCCATAATGCTTAGCCTTAATAAAAACGATATTTAATACCTACGGGAACTAGCGATGTGTATTTAACAATCCTTTGTAGTAATACTAATTGCGTTATCAAAAAACTGAAACATGGTGATAAAATTATAGAAATAAAGGACATTGCTCTGCGTTCCTTTGGTGTTGGCCCTGGAGCCTAGAGCATAGTTTTATTTTTTTATTGTAGTCTTCATCATTAATACGATCGATATACGATCTTATTTTGTAGCGAAATATCTGCAGAATATTATATGTCTCAAAAATAAATCACAATTTGAGGTTATAATTTAACCAGTCGCGTAAAATACTTTTAAATGTACATTTTGGAATACGTGTTTTAAAATGTTGGCAACTTATGTAATAAAATAAACCATTAATTATTGTATATTCAGATACTATTTATTGTACAGGTCCGATTTGGACATAGTCTTTTCAAGGGGTACATTGTCCTTATATTTTTCGAGTAATATTTGTCTATTTGACTTTTCTTCCAAAAAAATGTGTCTGACCTGAAAGATCAATTTTCAACCTTTTCTAATGCACTAACAATATAAGCCATTACATCTCTTGTTTTGAACTTTGTACAATTTCCTGTCTAGACCGAAAGTTATTTTAAACCTAATAATATTGTTGAGTTCTATTATAAAAATAACAAAGAAAATATTTTTGTCCAGTATTTCTTGTAACTAGACTTATGTACTACTAGCGATTATTTATTTTTCTAGCCAATTACAGTAGTTTGGTATTTATAAATTATAAGATATTATTTGGTTTCTTTAAATTAATACTAAAAGATTTTCAAATTTCAAACTTATGTGACATTTTGTATATAATGTAGTGTAAAAAAGCATTTTGGAAAAAGTCGATCAATAATTATTTATTTTGATCAAAGTGCAAGTATGTTTACTTATAATTAAAAGCTACTATTAAAACGTATGTAACTTCTAAAATTATGTATAGATAATACATATTTCAACTCAGCAAGTTTTTCTCATATAAGTATGTGTTGTATATTAACTTATCTTATTATTTATTACAGGGCCTGTTAACGCTCTGTCCGCCATCCATTCGAAGCTCTCGGTTTGAGTCAGGAGCGATCAATTTGCATGCCTCTAGACCAGTTTCAGACGCACGCCAGATCTTTACCACAGATCCTAAAAAATGGCCCCTGAACCAGCCCATTGCTAAAGTGGAGTCTTTGGTAAGTATATCAATATTAGTCTAATAACCAGCTTTAAATGAGAGTATACAGAAAATTTAAAAAGTGTGACTGGTGCAAATGAAGAAAATAAATAAATAATTATATAATAAATCCATAATACCATATTTTTGTTTAGATTCAATGCGCAGGAGAAGCACAATACGCAGAAGATATTCCGTCGTTTCCAAATGAAGTTTTTGCGGCTTTTGTACTCACGACAGTAGCTCTGGGCACAATCACTAAAGTAGATCCAAGTGCTGCAATGGTAAACTACTTTACTACTTACTTAATTTAAACTACTTTAAAACGATAATATTTTTACAAATATTTATATTCACAGGCATGTCCAGGCGTAGTAGCTTTCTACACAGCAAAAGATATACCCGGACTTAATTCCTTTACGCCAGCAGACAGTTTGCTATACCAGAGAAACGAAGAAGTGCTATGCGATGGAAACGTCAAATATTTCAATCAACCTTTGGGCATTATTGTAGCAGAAACTCAACACATAGCGGACAGAGCCGCCAAACTAGTTAGAGTTACTTATAAAAATGTGAAAAAACCAGTTATAGATATCAAAGTAGCTAAAGAAGATAGTGCAAGGAATACACTTTTTACTTCTATTGATGCTACAAATCCTGGTACAGATGTATTTAAAACTATTACTGGAAGCAGCACTCTATATGGACAGTATCCATTTACTATGGAAACACTCGTTTGTTTAGTCAAACCAACTGAAGAAGGATTAGAAGTTCACTCCGCTACTCAGTGGCTTGACGGAACACATGTCATGATCTCAAGAGCTTTGAATATGGATGAAAATAAGTACGTACACAAAATAATATCAACTTTAGATCTATGGGGCTGCTGGAGTTAAGGGGCAAGCGCAATAAGGCACCGCGGCCTCGGGCCAGAGCAGGAGAAAGAACAATATTGTTTTTAGTCAGTAAGAGTCTGAAAGTTCCTCCATCTACACTCCTTCCCTCTCGCCACATCCTGGTCGACAGAAGTAGTTTGTTGTTTTTCCCCTTACTTAAAAAACTTTGGGGCTATTTCGCCAAAAAAATTGTTTGCTTTATAAGTCTCATAGACAGTAAAATTGTAACATTATTGTATGACATAGTTTGTTCATGAGGAAATGTAATTATTTTCCAGAATCGATTGCTACGTGCGTCGTATCGGAGGTGGATATGGCATGAAAATATCTCGCAGCATTCAATCAGCGGTGGCTTGCAGTCTAGTGGCACAAAAGTTGAATCGTCCCTGCAGATTCATTCAGCCGTTGACAACGAATTTCAAAGCAGTTGGCAAAAGATTGCCTTGCGTTAATGATTATCAGGTATTGTCCTATGAAGTACTCTTAGTTTTACCGGAGTAATTATATTTGACATCAAATCTTATCAGCCTACAAGTACCCACTACAAAGTAAAGGCCTTTTTTCACACGAAGAAGGTTTGATTCGTCACCACGCTTGCTCAAGGCGAAATAGTGATTTCAAACATATAATTAGAAAATATAAGTCCAGATTTGCTCACGATGTTTTTTTTCACCTTTTGTCTGTGGTGCCATAATGAAAGAAAGTACATTTCTTTGCCATAATTGGTACTTCCCAGGTTTCGAATCCGGTCCACCGTCGTGATGGATTGGACGGATGATTGATATTGATATTGAACATCTCCGCTAAACAACAACAACAGACAAACACGTAGTTAACAACGTTAACCTGGCGCAATATAGGTATTATTATCATGTCTATTGAATCAATAATTGTACTTGCATTCAGATCACAGTGAACAATGCAGGAGTAATCCAACGCTTAGACATGTCCACGTACGAAGACAATGGTTACACTATCAACGAGACCCTGACAGCACTGGGCGTAGGCGTCTACAATAACTGTTATGATGCTACCAAAATTAACTTCAAAGCTTACGATACTATCACTGATTTGGCCAAAAATACATGGTGTAGATCGCCTGGTAAGACTATAACCCTTCTTAATTGGCTTTCATTGTTTTTAAGGTGCCTTTGACACTTACTTTAAGCTAAAATACAGTAATTATTATTTCACAATTGACAACTTCATCCAAATTTCAATTTTTACTTACTTTCAGGTACATTGGAAGCCATATCTTTTATGGAATACATAATGGAAAGAATTTCCTACGAACTATCTTTAGACCCAGTATCTGTTCGTTTGGCTAATCTCGATACAACGCAATTCGATGAATTGAGAGGAATGGTTGATAATCTCAAAACAAGTTCTGATTTCAATACTAGAAGAGCAGCAGTGGATTCTTTCAATACGCAAAACAGGTGGAAGAAACGAGGAATGAGATGGGCTTTTGCAAGGTGGTCACCAGCTGGGGCACAACGCTTTGATGTAAACTTATCAGTCTTCCAAGGAGACGGAACTGTAGTCATAACACATGCTGGTGTGGAAATGGGACAAGGCATCAATACTAAAGCGGTGCAGTTAGCTGCTTACTTCTTAAAAATACCCATAGAGAAAATACAGATAAAAGGAAACAACACCATTATAGCTCCCAATAGTTTCATTTCTGGTGGAAGTTTGACTACTACATCTGTGCTCATTGGATTGAGGAGGTGCTGCGATCAGTTGAATGAGAGATTGGCGCCTATTAGAGCTACGTTAACCAATCCAACGTGGGAGCAGGTCATCACTGCTGCATTCAATGCTGATGTCGATCTCCAGGTCCATGGTTTTGCAGGCGTCACGGACGCTCAGACTTACAACGTTTACGGAATTTGTTTAGTTGAAGTTGAAATAGACATATTAACTGGAGAATCTGAAGTACTGAGGGCAGATATTCTGCAGGACGTCGGATTTAGTATCAGCCCTGAAGTTGATATTGGGCAGGTAAGTCACATTATACATTTTTTTAACAATATTTATAATCAAAAGCTATAGTCTATTAGTATGAACAATAGTATCTGCTTATACCAAATTCTGCAATTACAAAGGCTTGTGACCTATTGACAAATATTTAATGTTTTGTCTATAGGAATGTGGGATTTAAAAGAATTCGTGCGTGCATGACAACATACCGACTTTATGTTATTATCAGATTCATTTCAATATTATTAATTCTTACTTTTTTATTCAGGTGGAAGGCTCCTTCGTGATGGGTCTTGGCTACTGGACCTGTGAGAGGTTGTATTACGCTGAATCTGGTGAAATTCTCACAGACAGAACCTGGGACTATCACGTACCTCAAGCAAGAGACATACCCCAAGACTTCAGAGTTTATTTCAAAAAGAACTCTTACAGCAACGACCTTATTCTGGGATCTAAAGGTAGGACTGAATGACATTAAGATGGTAACATTAGAATACCAGAGAAAAATTTAAAATATAAGAATAATAAAAAAGCATCTGGACATGCTAGTGTTTAATATCAATTGATTAATCTTAACACCGTCACATATGAGTCATGACTATCGTTTTACCATTGTGTCTATTTTGTAGACATTTAAATTATCGTGGACATATAAAATAAGAGGATTTAAAGGAAAGAAATGTAAATCATTTATCTTTCAAAGATGTTTGGTGTATGTTAGCTATAAACAGGCAAAAAATAGTTTATTTATACAGTTGTGTATACCTATGTTTACCTAACTAAACGTGTTAATTATTAATTAATTGGTTTATAAATAAATTTTATAATTTTCAGCAACTGGAGAACCGGCCATCTGCTCGACAATAGCTGTATCATTTGCCATCAGAGAAGCCATTGCTCACGCCAGGCAGGAATCTGGTATTCCAACCACACAATGGTTTAATATTGGTACGTTTTTTTCATTTTGATTCTATTTATCAATGGGCTTTTTCATATGATATGATGGCAAACGACCAAATGGATCATTTGATGGTTAGTAGCAATCAGCGTCGTCGCCTGTTACACTGGAACAATTGGGTAGTTTCCTAGGTTAAAAATAAATTATTTCGACGTTTCAATACAATAAAATATTGAAAAATAACTATACTTTTATTCATCGATCGATCGATACACTAATTTTTAGTTTTTTTTTAGCTAATTATCAAGAAATAAGTAAGCTATTTGACGCAAAAAAGTTATGACGTCATAGCTCAGTTTTTCATACAAATTTCATAGAAAAGTATCGTTTTTGACGTTTGGATAAAAGTATTATATTTGACTAGTTGGAAACTACCGTATTGCAAATGGTTAGGAGAGCTAAGAGGATTTAGGAATTGGGGGATAGGGATTTTGAAAAAAGAGATTGGCGGTAAGATTAGGCGTTTTTATTTTTCGGAATAACCACATAAAAAAATAATACTTATGTATTTCCGTTAGTTATTTATTATTGATCAAATAGGTATGTAAGTTTAATAAAGGTACGTATAATAATTTTCGACAAATTACACTCAAAGTTTGTCTGTCGGATCAAAATTTATTAATTTCACAATGACATAATTATGCCAAAAGTAATAGTTTACTTTGTTAGTTAAATAAATTGAAAAAAAGGGGGGCGTAATGTGGGCCGTATCTTCTGGGTGGTCCTCATAGTCACATATCCTCAGTCCGTACTCTCGGATTTGGTTCTGGGTGGATCCGGAGCGTTGCTTACTGCGGTAGCTGGGACGTGATGAGTATAGTTCTCTCACGCGCTCTGCCACCTTCTTTGCGAGAATAAATGCTTCGCAGAATGGAGAGAGGGCTTTCCAGTTCCTTTCGCGCCTTAACACGGTCTCAACTAAGGCCGGACACGGCAGTGCTCAGCCCAATCAGGGCACACCGCCACCGTCTGTTCCTTCGTATCTTCTGGGTGGACCTCAAAATGACGACACTCGGGCACCACTGCCAAACCTAAGGCCTCAATAAATTAATTAAAATTATGATTTTCTTGTTTCAGATGGGCCGTGCACAACTGAGAGTATTTGTATGGCAATAAAAACTAAAACGGCAGACTTCAAATTTAATTAATAGAATGTTATTTTTTTATTTTCTATCAATCTGTTATTTTTATGCGAACTAGCGCAAATGTTATTACGTTTTTTGTTTTGTTTTATTGTTTTTTTTTTCATAATAATATTCAGCCATTTGAACAAGATAACTTAAACAGTTGAACTTCAGTTTTTATAACAAAGTATAGAGTTCAAAATCGTTCGTGTGTAAATTATTCTATTTTTAAATGTAAGTACAAATTGTTGTTTTGAAATTTGTATTATTGTGTTGCAGGATTACGTTTTAAAGGTTCTTTGTACACAAAGCTGATTTAAAGCCATATTTGTAATACAAATAAATGTTATTTTTAAAAATGATTTTTATTTTTTTATCAATATTAGTTACCCTATATCATTTTATTTAAATAGCTCTAATCTATACTAATATTATACAGCTGAAGAGTTTGTTTGTTTAAACGCGCTAATCTCCGGAACAGTTACTGGTTCATATTGAACAATTTTTTTTTGTTTTTAGTAACATGTATCGAGGAAGGCTATAGGCTATAAAACATCACGCTACAATCTGTAGCTATATAACATAATCCCGATATAAAGGCGCCCGCTGCTCATTAAGGATGAAGAGAATGCTGGTTCAAAACCTGGCTAAGTGCTAATGCATCTGTTTTTGAGTAATTTGTACTTACAATTTCATGTAAGAAAATATAATGAGAATGGTCTGGACTTCGTCTGGAAAACGCCAATCAGCCATGAGCAAGAGTGCTCAAACCTTTTCCACCTGAGAAGAGCTCTTTGTTCAGCAGTGGGCACTTACGTATAATCTCTCGGTATGGTATAGTTGTAGGTCACAAGTAATAAAAAAAGAAAAACATATTTCGTTAAAACCTCCTACCAATAAAGTCAACAATACTATTTTGAATTTTCCCGTCAATAGAACCATTATCATCATCAGCAGCAGTCCGTACTCTCGGATTTGGTTCTGGGTGGATCCGGAGCGTTGCTTACTGCGGTAGCTGGGACGTGATGAGTATAGTTCTCTCACGCGCTCTGCCACCTTCTTTGCGAGAATAAATGCTTCGCAGAATGGAGAGAGGGCTTTCCAGTTCCTTTCGCGCCTTAACACGGTCTCAACTAAGGCCGGACACGGCAGTGCTCAGCCCAATCAGGGCACACCGCCACCGTCTGTTCCTTCGTATCTTCTGGGTGGACCTCAAAATGACGACACTCGGGCACCACTGCCAAGCCTAAGGCCTCAATAAATTTCCAAGACATAAGTTAATGATGTCAATGACTTTTCAACGGTGACAGTCGTAGAAAGTAGTAATTAGTCTATCGTGTACTAAAATTAAAACGATTGCCGTCATCAATTGCATTTCTAAACGTTTTATCAGAAGAAATTTGAATAAAAACGTTTAATTACAACGTTAATTGTGCTAATTAGAACAGTTAAATGTTGTTAAAAATCATTTTAAACATTTTGGCCATAAGTCTACGGCTTATACGTGTTAATCTTTGAATTTATTGTTACATCCAAAGGACTATTTCATTATTTGAACGATAAAAGATAATGATAAAATGTCGATTAAGAAATTTGGTTCAAAATCGAATCGAAAAAGTTTAGACTGACGATTTTCTGATTGTAATATTTATTTATGCCTTATTGGGAATGATGAAATGAAGTTGGTACAAAAGGTGGACTTCATGCCACATGACATTCTCTACCAAAAAAAAACGGTACGGGAAATATGATTATTACGATACGAAATGATTATGGGAAAAAAATGCTCCCAATTTTGTCAACTTTAAAATTAGAAACTTTTATTATAACCATTATTAAGTACAGTACGTATAAGGAAACTTAATCCAGTACCTGTCTACTTTTTTGAAATAAAAGGACCAGTTTACATTGTCTCTAATTACCTATATATACTTCCATAACCGATACTTTCTTCTATCCGCTTTTAATGATAAGATAACCTACATTATAATGCAGTAGTTTTAAATTAATCCACTATTTTTACGTTAGTGTACATGAATGTATGTATAATATTTAATTCACAGCACCATGGAAAGAGCTGCGACGAATTCAGGTAAGCTACTCTCGCGCGGTTTCACCCGCTGCTCGGCTCCATTTAATCGTCGCGTGATGTTTTATAGTTCTATACTCAGCGACATTGTAGATGTATCAGTGAAAGAATTTTGGCAATCCGACCAGCGGTTCCAAAGATTACTCCCTACATACAAACTTACAAATTTTATCACGTTATAATATTAGTATAGGTGGATTTCTAATCAAACCAGCTAAGTTTCATGTTTAGAAAAAAAATATGTAATGGGCGAGGATTGGTCATCCAGGTACTTATGATGGTGAAAATTGGATGTTAGATCGTATTTGTAATCACTGAAAGAAAGCGTAGGATTCTTACTTTAATGAAAATCTTTACAATACTATTATGCTTACAATAAGTACTATTAACGAATACCTAAATGATAAACTACACAATAAAGAAATTAAAAATTTACATAAAGTAATCACTCCTTCGTATATTTTGCCGTGCACAACAAATATTTAGAAGACATATGTGTGCTCAACAGGCTTTATATATATTTCCTAAATTTCTGTACCATCTATTTATACCTGTGGTGTGCAAGAAATAATTTGATTGATCAATTTAAACTTTACTAGAATCTCCCCAGTGACTCCCATCTGCACTCCTAAGAGGTACTGGGGCATCTTAACAATTTTAACCTCTGGAATTTTACGGTGCAACCCTGTTAGAGCACATCCCCAGGGGGAGACCTGCGCCTTCCCTGAGTTTCTCCGTGTTCCGTGGTGATCGCTGCTTCACTGTCCTCCGTGAGATCTCTGGGTGACTGTTTAGAGAGGATACTCTTTGCATCCGTGACTTCAAAGAAGTTCACAACTATTTACACTGTCGGGGGAAAAGGCATTTTATTGTGTTAAATAATGTTTAACAAACCCAAACTACTAATTATACGATTACGTGTCAAGTGTTCAAAATAAAGAGTTCTTTGATAAGCTAGGCATTTATTTTGTTCTATGCGCACGCGTCAGTCTGTCACACAGAACAGACCCGTCAAGAAGTAAATATTGAGTTAGTATGGATAGAGTGACATTTAAAATAAATGGGGAGGAATATTCAGGTTAGTGAAAAGTCAATTTCAAAATTCCAATAAATCTAGATGATCAGCCAAGGTTGGCCAAAGTTGGCGTTGAACAAGTGACAAAAGAGTGTTAGATTATTACTGACTATTTTTTTTTTATTTATCCATTTATTTCAGATATCGAAAGCCCATATAAACATATACAATACTGTATTAAATAAAACTTAATAATACTATAATGACTAAAAACCAGCCCCTACCTTCTCCTGCTTTGAACGGGGACTGACTGTTATATGTTTTTTTTTAATGAAATAAAACTGTAATTTGAGTAACATTTTGTTAAAAAATATATAAAATAACAACTACGTTATTTATAACATTTTATTGAAACAAAACCCAATTAAACTTTATTAGCTAAATAATGTCTATCAAAATAAATGTGTCGTGCTTATGTAGGTATACCTAGTTGCATGAAGTAGGTGTCTAGTTGAATTACCTACTTAAAATAAGTAGGTTGTAGCCGGCGCCTAAACCGAGATAGGAAAGCACCAACGTCTTGACGCCACCAGCAATAGAAAAAACTTAAAAGCAAGCACGGAGTAAGCGGTTGTAGTAGAGAACGGACATAATAGCGAGCATGTATATGTTAAAATGACTTCAGTTTGACCTCAACTTCTTAAAAATTTCCAACTTCCCATACGATTTCATTTCGCCGTTGATCTAATTCTAGTGGGACGTGAGGTGAGCTCAAGTGTGATGCTGTTGGAGTATATACGTGAACACCTGGAGCTTCGCGGTACCAAGTACATGTGTCGGCAGGCGTCCTGCGGCGCATGCATCGTCACAGCTCGACGACCACCTGCTTCACCTTATGCTGTTAATTCGGTAAATATTTAAAAAAGATCTTTAAGTAATCCTCTGTCGAAAATCCTTTCCTCATCATTCGTACTGGTGACTCGACACATAAGGCAAACAAAGATACTGGAGATAATAATTAGTATTAATTTGCATGAACATTAATTATTATAGTGTATTCTACCTATCACATCTTGCCATGGTTTGGAGATCACCACAGTTGAAGAAATAGGTAACAGAAAGAAGGGGTACCACCCATTACAAACTGCACTGGCAAAATACAATGGGTCTCAGTGTGGGTACTGTTCCCCTGGATGGATAATGGCTATGTACAGGTATGTTAAGTTGATCACTTCCTTAAAAAAAAATAATTCAATGAAACAACAGCTATAAATTGTCAAAAAATCTACCCATAAAATATTTGAAAAAACTTATCAGTAATAACAAGATGTTCCATTTACAGTCTCCTTCAAAGCAAAAAGAACTTAACCAAGTTAGAAATAGAAAAGTCATTTGGTAGCAACATATGCAGATGTACAGGCTTTAGACCAATATTGGATGCATTCAAAACTTTTGCAAGTGATTCAAGTAGTACTGTTGAAATTCCTGATATAGAAGACTTAAGAATTTGCACTAAGAAAAATAAACCTTGTGACGATGAAGATTGGTGCTTGATTTCAATGAGTGATATTAACAAAGATGGTGATATTTTAAAAATAAATCTCAAAGACGGGAAGGTTTGGTACAAAGCTTACAGAATAGCTGATATATTTAACGTACTGAAATCAGAAGGAACTGATTCGTATAAATTGATTTGTGGGAATACTGCTAAAGGTGAGAAAAAATCAATAGACATTACAAGTTATTTTAGGTTAACTTGATTTATATCTGTTACAAGGTTGACTTGAATGCTTAATTCAACTATAGGATTTGATAGGGTAGGATATCCAAGCTCCGGGAAGAATGGTTCGGCTAGACCGCTAGGAAGTGATATAGTGGCTTCATAGAAAATTGATGCTATATGATTAAGTTTATCGGAGATCCCATCAGTACTTTGCCCAAAAATCTGTTAGTTCTAAACAACTTCCAAAAGACCAGCGACTCGCTTGTTACTATTGCAGGTATCCATGGGTGCATCGATTGCTATCATGCCTATCCTCTTAAAACACAACTGGAAGTCAATCTATATTATAATAATTAATTGCCAAGAACACATATGGGCCTATTTACAAATATAAATTCATTGTTTCATAAACTCTATTCTATTCACCGCCAAAAGGAGCCCGTTCACCTTGGCTCCTGCTTTTCGGGATGTATCCTTGGAGTGCACCGACCGCCT